TCTGCCTTGACCATCTGCTATCCCCCTGTTGCTGACTCATGAATTTGAGGCTACATTGAGTTTTGCTCTAGATTTGCTGGGCATTTCTTTAAATATTTAAAATACCTATCTAAGATTAATCTGAGTCAGCATGCCTTTATTTGGTAGAAAAAAAGCAACTGAAGGAAGTCTAGATATGCCTCCCTTGGCAAGGGATTATGAAGATTAGATGCAAAACACAAAAAAAGCATCTCTCATTCCTATCACTGCTCTACCAATAGGCTTCTGTTAGCGTAGTTCAAGAAAAGTAATGGCTTTATTATGATCTATCTGAAGTAATCACAGATTCATGAAAGAATGAATGTATAGTATTTGAGCCAAAGTTCCTTGTAAACATTTTTGTTTGTTTGTTTCTTAAGTGATTTAACAGAAGGTGTTTTCTGTGAGAAACTACCAGAAAAGATAGAGGGTAAGTCATACATTATAAAATAAGGCAGGGGAATTTACTTCATAAGCATCTGTCTCATGAAATAAAAATCATACTTTCACTCTTTAGAATGCACGTCTGGGTTGACTGTTGAAACTACTAATAAACAGAAAGATCTCTTGGTGATAAACATGGACCTGGAACCAGAATATCCTGATGCAGAATTGCGTGCTACGCTTCAATGGATTGCTGCATCTGAGCTTGGGATACCCATAATCTATTTTAAGAAATCTCAGGAACAGAGAATTGAAAAGGTATTTGTGAATGGTTGGATAGATTCCATTGTTTAATATACCACCACCCCTTTCTATGGTAGCCAACACAATATACAAGCAAGAAAATATATAAAATAAAATACACAAATATACATCTAGCTAATAATGTACCCAAAAAGATATCCTATGTACCATTCAGTGGAACAGCTTGGTCTTTAACAATCTGAGAAAGGCAAGGGGGACTAAGAGCAGTCTGTGTCTGAGAAATTCAGCATGTTCAGCATGAGGGCAATTACAAAGAGGGTGTATTGTTCAGTTCCTACTCCATAGGCTTCATATCAGGTGACAGCTCTTATTAATCCTTTCCAGAAGTATACATGGGACAAACAAGACCTTGACAGGAGTCATAGCTCTATAAATATCTAGGAGCTAAGTCATGATGGGTTTTAAGCATGAAAACTAGCACTTTGAAGTGAACCCAAATACTGTAAGATATGATTTACAGTTTTTGGAGACAAATGACATTTTTTCAGATAGAAAATGTTGCAATAATGTTTTAAGGACTCTTGCCTTCTTACAGTTTTGCATTACAAAAAGACTGGCTTTTGCCATTGATATACAGTACTGTAACGTTGTTGTATCTACTGTATGTCCCATCATTTTTCTAAGCCAGGGGTCCCTACCCCTGGCCCATTACTGGGCCATGGCCTATTTGCAAACAGCCCGTGCGAGTGGCAGGCCAATACACACGTGCAGCTCAACTCATGTGAGCAGGCAGCTGGCACGCACATGCATGCACAGCTCAACTTGCAGTCAATCTGCATGTGCATGCACACTGGCCTACCGCTTGCACGAGTCAAGCTGCATGCATCCATGTGCACCGGCCCACCACTTACACGGACCGGTTCCCCTCTTCTTTCCCCAGCTGGGTCACCAAGCTGCAAAGGTTGGGGACCGCTGCTCTAAGCTGCTTGAGGTAGTATATATACAAAATCTCTTTTTTGTCTTCACACCACTCTAAGTAAGGTCAAGAAGTTATGACATATTAATGCTGTACCATGTGTTCAGAGATAACTGGGGATTTAAAGCTAAACATCTTGTATCTAATCCTGTGCATTACCCTTCATTGATTCATATTGTGAAATGTGTCTGATTCATGTCCACACAAGACAGCAGTCCAGAAATTGACAATGTTACAATTTACATACTACTCAGTATTGCTTAAGTTATTTCCACCACCACAACTATAAAAAATCTGTTCATTCACAAGTGTAAGCTACAATCATGTCTGTAAACTAGATTTACAGCAATGAGTCAAGCAGGTAAATGTAAAGTGATAGCTTACATAAAGTCAGCGTTATAAGTTTTACATATATCCTGCTCCCTCTTACTTAATGCCCTTCGGTAGCTTGGAACAACTCACTTCAGCATCAGCAGCATTATCTTTGTAAGGCATTGTAGAAGCTGTGGTCTAAACACAATGGTGTAAATAGTTTCTTGTACAATACACACCAGTGGGTATTGCATAAATAGTGGAAGTATATTATTGCTGTAATAATTTAGTTGCAAAAATGATAGGAATCTGCTGAATCTTAAATAATCAAGTGGCTCTGACAGTACATCTGACCTACTGTTAGATATTTAGGGGGAAGTATTTGGGAAACTTAAAATATTATTTAAGTTGCAGATTCACTAACAACTGCCCAAATTCTGTCATAGAAATAGCTGACAACTTTGTTAATAGTTGAATCAATTACTAAAACCTATGTGAGAAAGATTAAATCAAGTCTGCAATCTAGTTTTTGGAAATCTACTTGCTAGTTTAACATCTTTAAAACGTGTGTTTAAGGTTAGAATATCACACACTGATAGCAAATAGTTCAGAAAAGTGATGATAAAATTAGATATTGATTGCAAAATGAAAGAAGATGAAAGAAATCTTTCTAAGATCAAAGAAAAGTAGTATATGATGATGTAGTGTAGTATAGCAATGTGGCTAGTAGATTTTGCCCCACTGTCTGAAGTGTAAAGAAAACAAATGTCAGAATGCATATTGATGCATATTAGAATAAAACATACTTCTCTAGGATTTTGTGCTGCTCTATGATTGAAATAGAGATCCAGTATTGGATGTTTTAATTTCCACTGATAAAGACATTTGAGCTATTTTAGAAACCTACAACCCAGTTGATACCTTTTTATCAGAGTCAGCTCTAGGGAAAATAGTACATAGTTTTTATTTTTACAATTTGCTTTTAAATAGTGTCCTCATTTCTACCAAGGATCTCTTAATTCTTTAGTAAATGTATGTGGATTATTTGATTTGTTATTAATCATTAGCTGACTGATCAATAGCAAAATATGAATCAACAGAGTGGATGTAAATGGTGATTATCAATGACCATCAATTTAGGCCAGTTCAAACATGCACAACATTTGTCACAGCTGTTTTCACTAATTAAACTGTGAATGAACGTGTACTAGTTTAGATCTCTTAGCTTAAAAGAAAAAAGAAAAAAAGAAAACCTTGTCTAATTTTTTTTTCTTCCAGTTTTTAGATGTTGTGCAGTTTGTACACCAGAAGTGCTGGAAAGTGGGTGATATCTTCCATGCTGTGGTACAATTTTGCAAGCTCCATGAAGAAAGTAAAGAGCCGACTCTGAGCCTCTTTGACTGGCTTCTTGAACTAGGATAATACCTTCTTAAAGATTCTATTTGCATTTTTAATCTGTTTTAAGCGGCAGTGATCTGTGAGTGGCTCTGTTTTAGTCAAAATCTCAACATAAATAGAGCTGAAAATTATAAATTCTGCTGATTCATCATGACCCTGTTCCAAAGCAGTGCAAAGAAGGGAAGTGAGGAGGGAGGGCAGGGCAGAAAGGGAGAAGTGAAGAGCCAGTGTAAAATATTGCTACATTAAGGACTTTGTAGTTTTGAATGCATTACTCTTGAAAAGAATAGGATATGCATTTAAATGACTGACTTTTTACAAAATCTAAATGAAAAAGACATTTTCCATAATCTGCCAGCTATGTACGGTATTAACTGGAATCACAGTAACAAAAAATACAAAAAACTTTGTATTTATAGTTCAAATGCCTACTGATTATACAATGACAAATGAGTACATATCAGATGTCATTAAATGAATTCTATATTGTTCTGCTTTCAATCTATTCCCAAATTAGGGTCTATGCTCACACTGCATTGAAAAGCCTGAAAGTCATTCCACAAGGGTGTCCGTTCTGCTGAAAGAATTAAGCCCAACAACTTTTTAAATGAGTTCTTAAAACTCATGTTCAGTGAGTATATTCCTGGACTGTCCTTTAGTAGAATTGAGTCTCACAGGGGAGTTCTAGACAATTGCCTGAAATATTAGCATTTCCCAGTTTCCTTCCACATTTTTAACAATGATTCATGAACTTTATAAATCTATTTACAATCTCTGAATAAATAATAGAAACATGTACTCTGAGTAAACTTGCAGTGGGTTCAGTCAGGAATTTAATACAGTCATATAACTCCAAAAGTAAAATAAGTTCAATTAGGTCAACCTGGAAAATAATGGCTTTTCATTATGCCTTAATAGGAAGATTGTACTGATGAAATATATTTCATACTACTAACAACAGTTTATTTCTAACATCTTTAAGTTAATGTATTGTTTTACTGTAAATATTTGAAGTATAGTACATAAGATTTTTCTTACGGAAAAATGTACTTGTCAAAAGCTGGTACCTTGCTACTGAGAAAAATAGTTCTCATCCTACTCAAACATTCTTTATAAGAGCTAAAGAATCTGATTTTAATATATAATCAAGAAAGTAAATTAGATTGCAGTAAAAAACATCTTCAGCTTGCTACCAATGCAAATTGCCAATATCCATTGCTAGTAGTTTTCATTGTGGCGCTACTATGATATTGAACATTTCTTTCACAAAAAGGGGTACTCTTCACTACAGAATTACATTTTAGAATGTATCCAAAAATAACATTATTTTGCACTATTTTAGAAGCAATTTTTAATACAGTATATAGAGCCATAATTACCATCATTTTCCAATCATGCCTGCCCTTTCTTACATATACAGCAAAGATATTGCCAGCATTTTTATCAATTTAAGTGGCTTTATGGAAAATAATCATTCTACAGTACATGTAGAAAAGTAAAGAATCCCATTGTTCATAGGAGAACTTTGGACTAGCACCTTGGTCTGCTTTGGAAAAGTGCCATTGCCTAAAAAGTTTATCAATAAGTGTTTGCACTCAGAAATCAATAAAATAATAGATCATTAGAGATTGATATATTGTTGGAATATATTTATTTTTGACCAATGGCAAATTAGTTGTGAATTACACAAATTTTGCAGTGGTAGAATAAATGTTTACAAGCACAAATAATATAACAATGTAACAACGTGATGACATTTCTCCCTGTATATTACATTTTAGTACTGAAGCCTGACTTGAAATAAATTTGTGTTAACAATCTGCCTTTATCTTTCTTAAATCTGATTCTGAATATCCCTTGTATGTGATACAGATGAAATAAAGCATTGTTGTACAACTATTTAGTGGGGGAGATACGTTTTGTATACATCATTACCATCAAGAATATTAGGTAATTGAAACTTATCCCTAATATAAGATAAAATTGATATATAACCATATATTCTGAGCTTATATCTATGCAGATATTTCCCTCACTTCTGATATGTGGAGATTTTGCTTGCAAATAGATACATTTTAGTAGCAGCTTACTAGTTTCATTTATTTTTTGTTTTTATAAACCTTTGAACTTTCTGAAGGTTACAGAAACAAATGAGGTTTCACTTTCCACATCTGGAAAGATGCTATGTTTTAAAAGATAGAAAATAGTGGTCCTTTGCTGTATTGGAGATTTCATCTGACTTTTTTACCTTTCTTCATTCAAATGAAACTATACGTAGTGTAGAAGGAAGTTCAGATAAGCCAATAACCTGATATTTTCAGACAAATATAATAAATAAAAACCAAAGATTCACACACATTTACAACTAAGCTTCATGCCAGTATCTGGATATTTTGGAACACAATGATGCTTAGCTGACAGCAGCAGTTCTTTAACACTATTCAAAACAGAAATGTACAAAATCATTTCTAATGACTAGGAAATGATGGATCACAAATAATAACATATCAACAAATTCTGGTTTATACAAGAATTATACAAGAGCCAGCATATACAACATTGCATGAACTTTGGGGCAGGCATTTTTTCTATACTGCCTGCTTGTATAGAAACCCAGATTAGTAGGAGATCATGTTAAAAGGCTCTGTAAAACCAAAATCAAGTTCTTAAGAAGAAAGGCAGTTCACATTAAATGAAAAGACATGAGGGTTATGCTATTTCAACACTACGACTCTCACAACTGAATGCCAAAATCAATGTTAATTGTTTTTATTTCAGAACATGGACCTCCAATGAACATATGAATAATTAATAGAAAATTATTCTCATAATGCAAAATAAAAAACCTTTAATATTAAAGAATTATGTAGTTAACCATATGTGAAATATGTAGTATATTCATTAACTGAATTATGCAGTTCTTAGTATCATTATTTTCTCTCATTGACATGGAATAAAACTTAATAATTGTTAGATTGTATTTATTTAATGTTAGAAACTTCTAATGTTTAAATACCTGTTTAAATCTTTCAGAATGGGGCAAACCATAAATATAAACTACACTTTTTTAAAAAATCAAGAAATAGAGTTATACAATATAAATTAACTCCCAAATATAAAATATAAATAGAACATACCAATCAATACTACAGTATTTACATTATGCATATTGAAATGTTTTATTAAATAAAAATTAAACCTTGTAAGGTAAGATATCTAAATGAATGCAAGAGTAACAACTAATAGTATGATAAAGACTTCTCACTCCAATTAGCCATCTTTAGAGGAAAAAAGCATTTCTTATAATTTTCTCAATAACACATTTTTACATAGCTAGCCAGGTTAATTATTACAATAAGTCCAAGAAATAATTCTGCTACATAAAGAATAAAAAAGACAGATGCAAAAAGCAGATTTTTAAAGATTATTGTCTATATAAAAACACTGAATTAACATTCCTAGAGAAGTGGGTCAGCCTTTGTCCCAATTAGCGCCATATCCTACATGTATTATCTTTGCTTCCTAAAAAATAGAGAAGAATATAACGTTGTTAAATCTTTTTATTAAACCCATAATAAATAGTCTATAAAATCCATAAACAATAGTCTAAGGATTCATTTATTTGCTGGATCATTAAAGAATTATGTTTATTTTATCGCAATCACTATTTGTTCTTGTTTTGCTTGTAATCAGTAATTGTTTTGCTCTTAGTCTCAAGTAATTCATCACAGTTATTACTCTTTTTTGAAAATTAATCTTGCTGGCTTTATACCTCAAAAGCCATTGTGCTATTCTTTAATTATAGAATAAATCATTATTTTCAGCCCAAATATCTTCAGTAAAAGCTCTCTGAAAGGATAAAAAAAATCTTTACTTGAAATCTTGGCAACTCTGTTTTATTCTGAGAATATGTTATAGTGCTACACAGACTAATGGTCTAGAGCAATATAAAGCAGTTTTATATACTATGGCTTTTTAACTGTAAGCCAAAAGGCAGACATTCATAAGATACAACTTCCCACAATTGTAATTTCAAGCTTATATTGCTTATTTTATATGTAATATAACTATAAAAGATAAACCATAAAATGAGGTAATTACAATTCCTCATATATGGATTACAGTGATGGGATTCAAATATGTGAACAACCGGTTCTCTGTGTGGATGCTGCTTCCGGAAGTCCATTCTGGGTCTGTGCAACAAAAAATTAGTTACCGGTTCTGCTGAAGTGGTGCGAACTGGCTGAATCCCACCACTGGATTACAGTGTTGAATAGGCCACCACTCAACATTGTAATCCATATATGATTATATGATGCATCAACTAAACTATGGCTTAATATCTGTTCTAATTCATATCATAGGGGGGGGAAGGCAAATGTGACTGGAATAATACTGCCTTTCCTAATCTTCTCTTGTTGCAATGTTTATCAATGTACAGTAGTAACATTTCAGCTACTTCTGCTTAACCTTTTTAAGACAGAAGCATAAGCAAATATTGAAGTTTGAAAGTTGTTTTATTCCATCATCACATAAGAGATGACAAATGTAAATAGATCAATCCCCTCCAAACCCCAACTAATTTAATCCAATATGTTTCTGAACTAAGGTAAGAAAAACTGGGAAACTCTTTATTTCACATTGCTTTATTTTTATTCAACACTACCTGATAAAAAAATTCAGTTGAACTATAACAATTTCATTTCAGTCAATGTATTAGTTACCTGTAATAATTATATTCCCTTTGTAATTGAAAGCACAGGAAAATATCTCATCAGTGTGGCCTTCCAATATTTGAACGCACTGTCCCATCTTAGGCTCCCAAAGACGAGCTGTCTTATCTGAACTGGCTGTAAGAATACGACTTCCTTGAGGATTGAAACAGATCTTTAAAAAATGATAAAATGATATTTTTAAAAAATAGGAAAGTAGAATACTTTATTGTAGTTTGTCATCATTTCTACTCCTATTTTATGCATGCAGCCAGGTGGGGTGGCTTTAGGCTAGTAATGCTCTTTTAGCAAAAAGTTGATTTAGGACACTGAAACAGAATGAAGTTTTCCATGGCAATTCACCAGAAACTGACTCACTGTCTTTCTTCTCAGAATGGTACTTATATTTATTTTGCAAAATTAGAAAAGTAAAAAAAGTAGAAATAATTATGAACTAATATAAGATTAATTAAGTTGTAGACTTAATTATGAATTAATGGATTAAAATGAATGTCAGAAAACATCAATTAGTGTTACCTAGATTGTTATGGTTGCATATCAAAGTAGCAATTCATAGGTTGAAGATAGTTACATGTCAGACCCAGTAAGTGGTAAAAATGAAAGAAGCAGATATTAGTTCTAGAAAAAAAATGTGCAACATTCTGAATTAATAGAATCTGTAGAAACAGCTATACAGTAAACAGTTAACAGTCTGTAGGTGACATGAATGGATGAATGAAAACGGGATGAGGCAGTGCAAAAAATGTGATTGGGCCAGCCAAATACTAGAGATGACTGATAATGGTGACATTATTAGTAACATTGCTTTAGGCAATGTCTCTTTGTTTTGAATATATAGCTTAAGCATGTCTATTAATGTATACCCAAGAATGAAGGAATTTAAAAGCATGATCAGTTTGATAGCATACACTGCAAGACTCAAGAATAATTAAAAATTCTAAAGGTTGGTAGAAAGGCAGTTAACTGTATGTGCAAGCTGCTACATTACTTTCTAAATGGATGATGATGATGATGATGATGATAACTTATATATTACCTTTTATCTCATAGGATGCTCTATCTCAATAAAATGTGCAAATTATTAACTGATTATGCCTGATTTCTATTGTATTATACCCACCTACCTGATATTTTAATAACTAGACAACAATTTGAGTGCATGAGAGCCATTGCCTTCTACTACAGTTAAAGACACAAAGAAATAAAACTATATTTAGAATACAAAGAGAAAGAAAAAAAACCTTTCTTGGTCATATTCAAATAGAAAAATATTTTTATGAAAAATAAGCAGAACTGACAAAGTTTGAGCTAGAACAGCAGTATGGAAGAATTTGAAACAGGCAAACATTTTACCTTTGAAATTTCTCCTGAATGGCCTTCAAGTTTTGCAATACATTTTTTTGTTTCTGAATCATATACTCTTGCTGATCCTTTAGTAAAAAAGAAGAATCTAAATAGCTCAATTACATTTTGTTAAATATTAATAAATTCAAATAAAATTCTGATAAAAATATAAACTATATACTGGATATGACTACTTTCCTAAACATGTTTATTTGCAAATAATATCATTCAGTCTAGGAGAACTTACTTCATCTAAGTAATATGCAGAGTCTAGACCAGGGGTGTCAATCTGCCGGCCCGCGGGCCGGTTTCATCATACCAGAGCCGCGCCCACCCCATTGCTGGCAATGGCGAAAAAGCTCTGATACGTCGCGCGATGTCACGTGACGTCGCGAGTTTGACATGCCTGGTCTAGACTCAAGAGAGTCCCCTGGTGCTCTCTAATCATTGAAAGGTACAAATGGCAATGCAAACAAATAAAAAGTCTATAATTGCTTTAAAAGTGTGATTATAAGTGACTTGGAAGTTTCTGAACTCTTTTGCTGATGATAACATACGTATGATAACATATGTATTTAAATGTTATATTTATGAGACATACATTCCTTTGGGATTATTAGATAATTTAATAATTGAAAATGACATGACCATATGAATACCCCAACACTAAACTAAACCTAACAGTTACTGGTATTGTTATAGAAGTTTTTTATATGATTGAGCCTACACAAAAATCAAGGTGCCTTCAAAGAAATACCTTACCAAAATACCCCTAGTGCAAAATTTACAGTGATCTCTACCTGCAGGCCAAAACTTTTAATCATTAAGGTGCAAAAGAATTTTTTAGAGTTCTTGCTACTTCTAGGAATACCTTCTGACAGAATGTATAACAGGAGTGAAAAACCATTTTATTTTTTAGAAATCCTCTTCCTGCTTTTGACCAGACCATTAAGTAATTTCACCTACCATCAGCTGAGGCACTTGCAATACGCTGGCCAGTATAATCAAAACAAACATCTAATACTTCATCATCATGGCCTGTTAAGGTTGCTACCCGCTTGCCTGTCAAAGCATTCCAAAGCTGCAATGTGGAGAAAAAGCATTAAACAACCCATGCAAATAATTTCAGGCAATCAAAACATGATCTTTTTATATTAAACTGGACTTTCATTGCAAGTATAGCTAGCCTTTCATCTTTTTCTTTAAAAGAATATAGAGCTAGTATAAAGCAGAGTAAAAGATAGTTTCTATGACAAAACAGCAATGTAAATTAGACAGTTAGTGAAATCATTTTTAATGCAAGATGCTCTTTTACAGAATTGTTAGGGCTAGATTTAGTTCACCAGATTTCAATATATAGTTATGTTTCTTTTCCAGCCAGGTTGATATGTAGTGTATTAGGCTTGTTGCTGTTCTTACGCAGTTGACATGTGCTCAGAAATCACTTAGTGTGGTATTTTTAAAGTTTAATCTTTGATCCAAAAGTGTGACAATCATATTACTAAATGGCTGAACAAAAAGGTGACTGTCTAGTCTGCCAGTACTGTATAGTCAATATGATCATGCCTGTATCTTTAATATCTATATCCCGTATCTTATAACTGAAGCTATGGCTGAAACATACTATTATCCAAAGTTCTAGGGCACCTGGCTCATATCTCTGATTGTCTTATTAGTGTCTAACAGCTTATATGCTGCTTCTGAACTATGATTTCTATAAAATTCTATACAGGAAGCAATATTCCATTGCTTGGATCTACATTTCAGAATCCCTGAAGAGAAACTAAAAAGGGTCAGACAAATCCAAAGAAGACATGGCCAACTAAATCTTTTTGCTGGATCAAATATTTTAGGTGAATAAATAAAACCTTTCCATATAAAAACTTATCATAACCTGCAATACACTATTGTACCATGCATGTTTTGTCCATAGATCCAGTGATGATCAGAGTACAATCCCAGTTGAATTGTGCGCTGCTTATTTCTGCACGATGGCCTATTAAAGTATGCATTCTCCTGATGGGAAAGAAAATAAATTTCAAGTTAAATGGTAGTTTAAATTATTATATAAATATATTAATCACAGACATCCTTGGGGGGGGGAAAGTTAGACAAATGCTATAGATAGTGCTGCCCTTGATATGTTTATTTAATAAGTATCAGAAAGTTTCAAAGATTCAAAAAGTTTTATTTGCTTCAAATACAGAAAACATGTAAGCAAAGAACAAGAGTGTTACAGATATGAAAGATTTTGGAGTTTACGGAAGCATTTGGACATCAATTTATGCTTGTTAAACTAACTGACTGCCTTAAAAATTACCAGATAATCCTAGATTATTTGGGCAATCTTTGGTTTGTTTTGACCTTTTCAGTTATTTTTTATTATGCATCTATATACCCTGGAAAAATGAGAAACCAAATCAAAGCATGGATCACTGTTTTTACATCATACTATGCTGTAATGCAGTCAGAAATCCAACTGCAAACAGTAATCTGAAAGTGTGGAAATCTGCCTTAAAACAAAAAATAGCTCATTCATTGTTTCTACTGCATTAATTAAAAATGTATAGAGGCCACATTATGAACTACATAATCCAAGCTATACAAAACAGGATTTTTGTAAAACATAACATAAAAAATATAAAATAGTACCTGCCCGTGCTAACATCCCATACTGCAACTGTATGGTCGAAAGAACCTGTGATGATTTTGTCTCCTGTGGTGTTAAACGATAACGCAATTATCTCTGCAGAATGTCCCTACATTTTTTAATAAAAAAGAGGATTTCATAGAATTATTTATATGTACATTAGTACAAACAAACATTTTTTCACACATGAAATGAGGTAAAAGTAAATCAATGTAAAGGAAATTGGTAGTATTGGAACCTCAGTGAAAAAATGTTATGACATATTAGGTTATAGTTCATAAAGCCTGACTGAAGTGTATGCATGGGGAAAATAATACAAAAAACATGGTAAGCAGACAAAATATGAAGTGGAAGTGGGCTGGGAAAATTTGATTTAAGATAGGTTGTGATCTCATTTGGTGAATTGGATTATCTCCAATTAACGTGAATAATTCTAAAAAAGGAGTAGGCAGGTGCTACAAAATACAAGCAGATGGGGGTATGTACTGGGCTCCTCAGACACAAAAGTGGTGGAAATGACTTACAGAATGACTTGGACTCTCCCTGCCTGCTTCCCCATTGACTTTGCTCAGAAAGATGGCAGGGAAGGTTGTAAATGGCGATCATGTGACCACAGTTCTCTGAGATATTGTAATCACAAGCTGGGTGCCTGAGTGCCCAGATTGTGATCACATAGCTGCAGGGAGCTATAATGACCAAAACTTCATGGACCAGTTTTTCAGTGCTGCTTTAACTTTGAATATTTACTGAACAAATGGATATAAAGCAACAGCTACCTGTATTCTTTCAATAACTTTTATTTCATTTAAAACATAAGAAAGCATCATATGCCTGCCAGAACTATAAGTAATTGCAACTCACTGTTAATCTGACTACTTCCTCTCCATTCTGTATGTCCCATAGTCTAGCCGTAGTATCCATGCTTCCAGTTGCAACTAGTGTGCTTTGAAGATTAAATGATAAGCAAACCTGTAAGATAAAAAAGGGAAAGATCTTTTTAGAAACCCTTAGCTTTCCTAACTTCCTTGCTATCAGGCAGGTGATAGCATGATAGAATGCAATTCCTGCTGATCTATGCTTTATTGATTGCACAGGATTATAAATGGGAACAAGAAGATGGATCTGAGCCTAAAGATTCTCAGCCATCCAATCTTGGAAGGCTTGTCTGAGTTTGTTCCTCTCCATCCAGACCTGCTCAGCATCCAGATATTGGATATTGATGGCATCACTTGGATAGCCCAGAATCAAGATGTACAACTGGATAAAATCAGCATATTGATGATAATGGGTTCTGACTTAATGGATGATCTCTTCCAGCTGTTTCATGTACATATTAAACAGGAGGGGAGAATGTGTCATGCTCAGAGGCACCCCACAGACAAGGGGCTGAGGGTATAACTTCCTGCTCCTGCCAACACAAACTAGAACTGGCCCAGAGAAAGAAGAACCATTATAACACAATGCCTCCAACTCCCAAATCCTGCAGTCAGTCCAAAACAGTACCATGCTCAACAGTATCAAAACCCACTGAAAGATGAACACAGGATGGATACATCAGCTAATCCCAGCTCCATCAAAGGTCATCATCAAGTAATGCAGTCTCCATACTGAAACTCAGCTTGAAACCAGACTAAAATGGATGGAGATAATCAGCTTCATTAAGTGTTCTCAGGAACTGCAGTCCAACCATCTTTTTGTCATTATAGGTATTAGAAACCTATAGTGCCTATAATGATTGAACACTGCTGTGTCTAAAATAGCTTCTTGAGGAGGGGATGCACTTCCATTTCTTTTAAAGCCAAAGGAATTAATATCAGAGAATGGATCCTGCATTTCCTGGGTAGCTATAATAACCCAGGAGAAGCCCAGATCTAATAAGGAAGTGACTGAACTCAATTTGAAGTATCCTGGAAACCTCATCAGGAGTCAGATTCAACTCACGTTGCTAACATCTATACAAATGTATGGCTAGTCTCTATCTACTTTGATCTTTTCAAGTTTCCAGAAAAAAATTAAATCATGACATAGCCTGCAAAAACTGTAGTTCTGTTGTTCACAATGAGTACCTGAATTGTAAAATTATGATAACAAGATAAAGGGATTTGCCACGTATTTCTTTTATAAATTGGGAGAAGATAGAAAAAACAGCTCTATGATAACATAATAGAATATGAGTGTGACTATATAAGTTTATTAATTGCTTAAAGGACTAAAATCCTTTAAGAAGTATGGAGCTGTTTCATGTTCATAAATTCCTCTTAAACATTATGCTGAATATAATATGGATTATGACATAACACTGGGTATTTCTCATTAAAGTGATAAATAGCATATGATTTTTCAAGCATCTTTCTACAAATCCTATTGAATTCTAATTGGTTTTAGTTCTAATTAATATAATTAAACCCACAATTTAATAGTTAGTAACTATCTATATCTTAATTGGGATCTCTGTACAATGGTACCAAACATGTGTCAAAAGCAATGTACTGATGTAAATGTATAAACCAGTTAATATCATCAAATACACTTTTGAAGAAGTACTACTTAAGAAAGGAAGTAACCACTGAATGAGTTTGGTTTTTCTTAACAAATGAAGAACATAAAGAACATATATATTTACAACCCAAAAGAATGTATCTAATGAAATTGGCTTTGGTCCATAAAAGCTTATGTGACAGTCAATTCCACAAGACCCTTAATTATTTTTGTTACTTCCCTGAAATTAGGAAAAGTTTTACTAGTGGGCATAAGACTGCAACTAATCCAAAAATACAAAGATATTCCTTAAATTATCCTTAATTAACAAATTAATGCATAAATTCTATTTCAGTTTATTTGTGAGAAAACAACATGTGTTAATATTAATTACTAATCTAATTTTGGTGAGATGTAGTGAATATAGTCACTCCTCATATTATGATTATTCAGTTAGTGACCATTCACAAATATAAGTGGTAATAAAAGATTCATTTTCTGACCAATGCCTGCAACCAAATTCTAGTTACCTGTCAACAAAAGCCTTCAGTATGCAACTGATTAAGTTCTGGTCAGTTTCAAGAAGCAGCACTAACTAATGCAGGGTTCTAATCAAGAAATTAAAGTCCTGAGCTTCTTAATTTATGGCACTTGGGGACATGCTGTTCTGCAGAGAAAAGCAGCTTAAGAGTAGACAGCTTGTTTAAGCAAGCTCTCCACTTTGCAAAGGATCAAAAACGGGGGGGGGGGAATGGCTCAGGCACAGGACACTGTATGAGAGAACGTCATCTGAATGAGATGACAGCAAACAATGAGCTTTGCAGTCTCTCTCTCTCTCCCTCTTCCTCTCTCTGTCAGTCATATGTTAATTGAACAACCATTTTGCTTAAAAACAATTGCTGGAATGAATTTCAGTCACTAAATGAGGAGAGGATGTATACAACACTGATTGAAGAGGTTTGTAGGAATTGAAACAACTCCCTATTAGAAAAGAAACTGTTCAAGTCTAAAATGGCTTGCATTCTAACTTACAAATAACTGTTCTCAGCTGAAGCAAGTCGTGTCACATTTGGAACACATCCAATGGGATTGAAACAAGTGCAACCTAAACTCCTGTACTTACAATTTCTGCAGTATGTCCTCTAAAAGTATAATAGCATTTTCCTGTGTCTACACTCCATAATTTGCAGGTTTTATCAAATGATCCAGTAGCAATCTTGTCACTAAATAAATAGAAAAATATTGTTTCAATTATTAACTCCATATATTTGTTGATTTAACTTATATGGTGCCAAATCCTGTAAGACTCCTAGCAATTAACAGCATTGCATCAAATAGAGGAGGAAACCAAAATAAAATTCAATGCAAATGATTAAAACTGGGGTATAAAAATAACCCTTTCAAATTAAGTTTGCAACATACTTTAGATTTGAAGACATTAATGACCATGGTGTATTAAGGATTTTGAAAAATTACATACCCATAAGGATTATTGAAAGCAATTGCATACACCACATTTCTATGACCTTCCAGCGAACGTAATTCTTCTCCTGTTGCTGTATCCCATAGTTTGCATGTTCGGTCATAACTTCCAGTGATAAAGCTACAACAAACAAGTCCATCGTATGATTTCAGACCCAGTTCTTCTCATCCACAAATTAACCCACACCTGACTGAATTCAGTGGCTATCTTTCCTCTCATTCTCATATTTTTCTTTAAGGAATACTGCATTGGCCAAGATTACAACAAATCTAAACATTTATAACTCCAGGTTTGTTGAGAAGATTGCATGACATCTATTTGTCTTGTAACAATAAGACTGAGCCCAGAAGGTCTAAGTAGACTCTACTTAGAGACTCTACTTGAGACTCTAGAAAGAGTACAGAGAAGAGCAACAAAGATGATCAGGGGACTGGAGGCTAAAACATATAAAGAATGGTTGCTGGAATTGGGTATGTCTAGTTTAATGAAGAGAAGGACGAGGGGGGACATGATAGCAGTGTTCCAATATCTCAGGGGCTGAAGAGGGAGTCAAGCTATTTTCCAAGGCGCCTGAAGGCAGGACAAGAAACAACGGGTGGAAACTAAGCAAGGAGAGAAGCAACCTAGAACTAAGGAGAAACTTCCTGACAGTTAGAACAATTAACTAGTGGAACAACCTGCCTCCAGAAGCGGTGAATGCTCCAACACTGGAAGTTTTTAAGAAGAGACTGGACAGCCATTTGTCCGAAATGGTATAGGGTTTCCTGCCTGAGCAGGGGGTTGGCCTAGATGACCTCCAAGGTCCCTTCCAACTTTACTATTATTATTATTATTAAGTATGGATGTCTCAAAACACCTTTCCCAGAAGTCCTCTGAGTTTACATATCCTGGCCCATCTTCCTGCCTTAGTGTACAAAGTTTGCTGTTACTGCTGCCTATCTTCCAGAGAGATGCTGTTACCTGGAACATGGAATACATAGACATCTTAAAGCCTAGGCACCCAACTGGCAAATAGAGAGGAGGAGAAAATAACGATAAAAATAAACGCAATCTATAACTCTATCTCCTAGAACAGTGATGGCAAACCTTTTAGAGACTGAGTGCTCAAACACTGGCCCTGCCCCTGCTCCACCCCCTGCCCCACCCCCACCCAGCCTGCCCACGGGGCCACTCACCGCCTCCAGGGTCTGCTGCAGATCGCCCAGGCAGTCTCACAGCGCCATGGCGGCCACGCCCTCTGCCCGCGCCCCGCAGCTTCAACTGTGCACAGTGGGGCATAAGGGCAGATTCTTGTCTATGCTGCCTGGTTGCCATGTCCTTGGCTGCGCTGCTCTGCATGGGCTACACTCGGGGATGACTCTCCTCCAGGGGGGCTGTTGGTGAGGAGGGGATCATGGGGGGAGGCAAGGCTGGGGCAACTGCATGTGTGCCTACACAGAGCGCTCCGAGTGCCGCCTCTGGCACGCATGCCATAGGTTCGCCACCACTGTCCTAGAATGGTAGCAAGAGATGTGTGACTAGGGAAATCTAGAGAAAGATCAATCTCTTAATTGGACTCTAGAGAAAGATCAACCTCTTAAGTGTTAAATAAAATTTCTTTATTAAAAAATGGGAAAAATAATATAAAAATTATTTTTATTTCTTTTTAGGAATCATGTGTAAAACAATCAGTACTAAAGAAATGAATATATAATGCTTCCAAAAATCATCTACAGCATCATACATTTTCCACATAAAATTTAGGAATGGAAGGAAAATTAGGATTATGGACAGATACAACACAATCCTAAATTTAGAGGAATTTTGCTCTGTCAACTTCTAAGCCACATTAATAGCACCCAGTTTATTGAGCATGTACAGAGAACACAAATAACAAAGATGTCCGGGCCCAACACATCTGCTTCCTTCTTTTTTCTGGGAGTTTTGACTTGGAGTTTTTGTTCAAAACCAACACATTTTTCTTCATAAGGAGAGGTTAGGAAGAATTTCCTACCATGACACATTCACTACTAGCTATGAAGTATTACTAGTAAGAAACTAAAAAATGCCAAGGGCTTTTGTATCTTTTATATTTTTGAATTGCTTATCCTGAATAAATAATTATTTGCAGCCTCAATAGCTTTGCAATCTAAAATCTGGATTTTGGTGTTCACCATAGCATAAGTGAACTGAAAGAATAAAAATAATAATAAATTCAGCATTGGGACATGCTTTTCAAATGTTAACACTAATAGTTTTAAATATTATCTCAGTGAACGACATTTTTAAAATGGTAGATTTGTGTTACATTATTAACTAACAGCAATTCAAGGAATGGGTAGAAAAAGCATAACATTGGCTAAGGAAAAGAAAAAAAGTTGTATCATATATTCAATGTCATTTTGCTATCTATTTTTTACTAAAATATTTTAATTGAGGGTTTTTTCTACTGTTGTTGCTACTGCTGTAGTTTTGGCCTTTCATACCATATTAATAAGTTTAGTTTAGTTTAGTTAAAACAATAGCATGGGAAAACATGTATTGTTAAATATACCAAATACAATTTTAGTTTAGGCATACCATTAAATTTAAATTACTTACTTTTAATTTAACTATATATCCAAACTTACCAAGAACCAGATTTGTTAAAGGCAACATTGGTGAGTGGCAATATATGTGCTCGAAGTACCTGAAATTACAGAAAATAGCAGTGCAGTTTTCATTATATTTCTGTAGATGTTTGCCTTTGTAAATCCAGTTTCATAAATGTATATTTGAAATATGACTTGTTTCAAACAAAATTAAGTGTTTTACTTATTTGAGTGCTTATTGATTTAATGGCAGTCATTTAAGTATGCAATTCACTTGAATTCAGTGAGGATTTGGCTAGATTATGCTTAATTAAATTAAATTACCATGCCATAACAGCATGCTTTATGTATGAAGCACTCAAATGCCAATCAGATATGCTACAGCAGCTTGCTACTATGCTGAGCACACACATACACATGCACACAAACACATGAAGATCACCCAGGAAACAGCTACGTAAGACACAGCCATTTCATACCCAGCCCATGTCTCCATTAAGAGGTGTTATTGACAGTTACAAGGTGATACGAAGTGAAAATAAAAAACTAGTCTTATTTACACTTCTCTGTTCTTGACAAATAAGTATCCAAGGAACATATTTGCATGTCATTCCTTACTGAACCATGGGGAGGGGGAGCCCCTATTTTTATCAATTTAGAGAACATATTTTAAGCAGAACTTTTTTTTCATATTAACTACATTCTGTATCTTGCTTTCATGGAACAAGATGCATATAAGTAACCTAGAGGTTAAGGATTTTTTTTTATAAAGAAATAAAAGTGCAATTTGCATAATTGCTGCCAGATAGACTGATGAAAGGTCATGTCACTTATAATAATTTTATCTTCACTGCCTGATTTTGAATTATCTTATCAAAAGAAAAAAGGCCCTGAAAGAAGAAAGGCAATGTTCAAAGCTTTCTGAAAAATGCTTAAAAAGTTGTTTAAAAATTAAATTAAGTTAAAAGATTGAAAAAGTTAGGATATGATAATTACTAATAGAAGAACTTCTGCTGTGGCCATTTGAAAACTACAGATGGAATTTTTACTGGTTAAGATTTTCTCAAAAATTAATTACATTTAAAAATGTAACTCTATTTTTCCATATGAACCATCTCACACTTTTACATTTCTAAGGAATAGATAAACAATGAAAAAAGAAAGGAGAGCAAGAGTAAAGAAACATAAAAAATAACATACTACTTAAAATATATATCCCTTCTAAGCTAATATATATTTATTTCCTAAATTTCTTATTCTTTTTAACCATAATTAAAAATACGTTTAATCTTTAAACATTCCATTTAATACATCTAGTTATCTAGTCCTTTAACTCTTATTCAAAACATTTTATCCATTATAATTTTCTTAAATTCAATCACATTTAAATATCTAAAACATTTCCCTTATCTAAGTCATTTTAACTTTTTTATATTACCCATATCAAGAAAGTGAACAAAAAAAGGGGGGAAAAGCATACTATATTATTTAGGGAATTCATCCCTCTTAGAATGACATATATATTCCAAAACTTTTCTATTTCTTTAACCATATTCAAACAAATGTTTCTTTTTAAAGTATTCTCTCTGGTAAGTCCCATCATCTATTTTCTTGGTTTCCACTTTAGTCTTTTTCCTTTGCCCAGTATCTTAATTAATGTATTTTGCTGAATCAAAACATTTTTCTGTATGTTCGTAAATGTTGCTGTAGATGTAAAAAGTAAACCAGGTGAAGTGTCTTTGTACGGGGCTTCTGCCTTTCCAGGTTTGTTGAAAATCTTTTTCTTTTTCTTTCTCTCCACTTCTCTTATCATTTTCTTTCTCTCCGATGTTCTGACATCTCTACAGTCCATTTTATCCAATCTGTTTTCTTGTCCTCAGATTTATTTTGTAGTCTTAAGGGATAAGGTTTTTTTCCCAATTCTTGTGAATTTTTTTCCACTAGGATTAAATCATGTTTCCTTGTTTTGTTAAATTCCATCTTTAAGTCTCTATTCTCAATTCTATATCCATTGATCTATTTTATCTGCTCCTTCTCTGTTGTTGTTTTCTGGAGCCTGGCTCCAGGGAATTATAAACGCTTCTTTATGGGAGGGTGTCTTCCCCGCGACCCTAAAGGAGGCGGTGGTGAGACCCCTCCTGAAGAAGCCTTCCCTGGATCCAGATGTATTGGCCAACTATCGCCCAGTCTCCAACCTTCGCTTTGTGGCGAAGGTTGTTGAGAGTGTGGTTGTACAGCAATTCCCTCGGCACCTGGAGGAAACAGATTATCTGGACCCCCTCCAGTCGGGCTTCAGGCCGGGATACAGCACGGAAACGGCATTGGTCACGTTGGTTAATGATCTCTGGAGGGCCCGGGACAGAGGTTATTCCTCTGTCCTAGTTCTTTTGGACCTCTCAGCGGCTTTTGATACTGTGGACCACAGTATCATG